TGAATATGGTGGGTGAATCAGAACTTCCCAGCCAAGCTGTAACAGTCTTTGCCTGGTCATCAAAGAAACATGCGGTCTTGCATTATCCTGATGGAAGATTATGCATTTTACATTGATTAATTCTGGACGCTTTTCATCAAGTGCAGCTTTCAGTTGGTCTAATTCGGAGCAGTACTTGTTGGAATTAGCCGTTTGGTTATCCAGAAGGGGCTCATAACAGAGGACTCCCTTCCAATCCCACCATATACACAACATCGCCTTCTTTGGATGGAGACCGGCCTTTGGTGTGGTTGGTGGTGGTTCATTTCCCTTGCCCCACGATCTCTTCTGTTCCACATTATTGTACAGTATCCACTTTTCATCACCCGTCACAATTTGTTTTAAAAACAGAACGTTTTCATTACGTTTAAGTAGAGAATCGCATGTGGAAATGCGGTCAAGAAGGTTTTTCTCGCTTAACTTATGTGGAACCCAAACATCAGAGCAATTAACATACCAAGCTGGTGCAAATGATTTTCAATGTTTGATTTGGATATTTCGAGTATGTTGGCTATCTCCCGCGTGGTATAACATTGATTGTTCTCAATTAATGTCTCGATTTGATCACTACCAACTTCAACTTCATGGTCTACCTGACCGTGGAGCATCGTCTAGCAGGAAATCTCCAGTGTGAAACTTCACAGGCCACTTTTGACACGTTCGATCGGTCACAGCACCTTCTCCATACACTGCACAAATCTTTTTTTTGCATTTCGGTTGCATTTTTACCTTTCTTGAAATAATAAAGCATAATATGCCGAAAATGTTGCTTCTCTCTTCCATCCTCAATATTAAAATGGCTACACAAAAATTCACCAATTTTGATGTCTTTTTTTAAATGCACACTGATATGACAGCTGTCACATACAGTCTAACAAAATTGTTTTGAATGAAGTTGAAGACAACTAAGTGCTACCAGAGCCATCTTACAGAAAAAAAACGAACGAACCTTTCGGCCAACCCAGTACAGGCAGAGTTGGGTACCGCAGATGCAGACAGTAGACCAGAGAGAAAAGATAATATGAGTGCATCTCCAAGCATCTGATTTGACATCTGTTCTCTGACACCAAGCATCACCAAACTAGAAATGGACTTCAAGGGCCAGAAGGCTATGCTACCATATCTCGAAAGTGACCGAGTCGACAGATTTGTTTTCCATCAATACTTGAGAACCTTATAGTTCTTCAACACGAAAGTACAGGGATGATCCGAAAAGGGGTCCTCACCCTCAGGTTGAGTAGAGATCTAGTACTTCTCCAAAAAGAATTCTGTTTAGGTCAAGTTTTCTTGGAGTTTAATGACAACAGCAGCAGCAAGTACTGTGACAGCTATGACGACTCTCACCAGTTATCGAACATTTAACCCTCATGACGACTCTGTGGGCAAATAGCTTTTGCCCCTTCCTACAGGCAAGGAAACTGGGGCTCAGAGATGTTGGGTGATGTGCCTAATACTCCAGTCCAAATTCCAAGTCACCAAACTCAATTGCAGCCAACTCCAGAGAAGGGACATCAACGTGCCTCCTGGCCCCGCCCCTGCCTTCGTTGGGCTTATGACACCTGCTGTTATTAATGGCTTCCAAGAGTCCCCTTTGTCTAGGCTGAGCCTCAGCCATCAGGGAGGCTTCTTCTCACACTGTCAGTTAATTCCTGCATGTCTGGGAGGAAACTGTCCCAACACATCCATGACCCAACTGAAAAGGACAGTCGATGGAGTTAGCATCCTGAGACAGTGTGGACACAGTCAGGAGCCCGAGCGAGTGCCCCACCTGTTTTCCAGAGAGAATGCAGGGCAGGGCTGGGGTCGGGGGTGAGTCTCACACACTCGGGGAGGACAGTGGCAATGCCCACACTTCACTGCCTGCCAACAGGTAACAGAGACCAGACCTGGTGTGTGCAGGTGGTAAGTCAGCCACTGTTCGCTGGTGAGGAGGACCACGTGGGCCGAGGTGAGCCATTCTCCCCTGTGTTTCTGGCTGTGGCAAGGAGGAAACGGTTGGCAGCCACGGGAGGCCCCAGGGAAACCCTGACAGCACTGCTCCTCCAGAAGGTCTAGGCTGCGGGGAATGTGCTCCTTGGGAGGAGGCTTGGGGTCTCTTCTCAAATCAGTTAAACCTCAACATGGTTCCCACAGCCTGGGATTTACGTCTTCATTTCCAACCGTCATCCGTCAAGGCTCTGGGACTCTGACAACTGGGGAAATACTGTAAGCCTCGCTCCACCAGACACCCCAGCACCTGGCAAAGGAGCCGATGGAAAGCCAGGGGGCACTGGAAGGAGGTGCCTTTCTGGACCAAGCACCAAGCTGGTCCTGCACGTTCACTTGGACATCACTGCGCAGAGCAGAAGCCATGATGCTGACGTCCCTGAGACACGGCGCAGCTTTCTGGGCATTGGAGCACCAGTTGCACAGTGAATTCTGAGGCTCTGCAACTTTTAAGGGGGCTTTATTTCTTTCCTTGATTACTCTACTAAGTAATGCACTTAAGGGTTTTGAACAAGTATACCTCTGCACCTTGTTTATGCCATTTCCTCAGCCTGAAAAGCACTCCCCCGCCAACCTTCCACAGCCAAAGGCTGCTCATCCCTCAGAGCGCAGCAGGGACACGGCCTCTCCGCAGGGCCTTCCCTGCTTCCCCCACAGCCCGCACCCCCGTGCCCTTCTGGGCTCCCACAGTGGACAGCAGGCCCTGGGTCAAGATGCCAGTTTCTCCCCTCTGTCTCACACTAAGGTACCACAGCAAGGTCTCCAAAGGTAGAGGCACTGATGTTGCCATTAGACGTTCCCTTACAGGCAGTGGCAGGACACAGGAAATGGGCTAGGACACAAGAATGGACCCTCAGGATGACTGGGAGACAATGGCTCAAGTCCAGCCAAAATCCCTACTCCTCAAATCACGGGCCATAGAAACAGTTCTAGCACAACTGATGTTGGCTCCACTAAGGTAGACCCCTGTCTGTTTCTAGAGGTGGAGCAATGAGGAGACGAAAGGACATCCACCTACAAAAGAGGGCCCTGCTCAGCCCCTACAGGACACACCTACGCTGGCAGAGCAAGGTGCTCTGCTCCAGAGAAAGGACAAGACCTTTGCCCATTTACACATAACAGGTGACGGGCTGGGCTTAGGAGAGCAGGGCAGGGGGCTGGTGGTCCTCTGCGGGTCAGCGTCAACACCGCAGCTTGGGAACGAAGAGGGAAAGAGCGGGGCAGGCAGCCCTGAGCTGCGGCCTTGTGCTGGCCATGCTGCAGGGGCAGAAGCTCTGCGAAGGCCATGGGATTCTGGTGCGAACGCCCCAGCAAGAGCTGCGCCAAAGACATGCAGACACTCCTTACACCTCATCACACAGCGGTCACGTCACGGGTGTGGAACTCAATGAACGTCCACTTAGAAACTCTCATCCAGTAGTCGACAAACCTAGTCTAGAGATCTCCCCAGTTCCCTCGGCCTCAGGGGGCGACCCCCAGGCTTTCCTTGAGGAGGCAGTCGTGCAGCCTGGGAAGCAGGGGGCCTGCGTGCACCGGCCTCCCCCCACCGTTAGCACACAGGACTGAGTCAAGTGCGCATCCCTGATGACAGGAAATATTCTCCACGGAAGCACAGACTCACAGATCCCAGGCTTGGAGAATCGCGAAGGCCGTCTTGGTCAAGAATCCCCTCCACCCTGGGTCTCAGCCGCAGCTTCCACTTGGCCACCCTCCCTGCTTCGTCCCACCCTCACCTGCATACCCTCGGGGCTCCAGCTGAACAAAGAGCCCATCACGGCCTCCCCGAGCCTTTGTCTGCCCACCTCCACGTCCTTCTCACACCACTGCCTCGACTCAGATTGCTTTTCCTGACATATCTCAGGTCCATTTGTCCTTCAAGGCCCAGGTCCTGCGAGCCCACAGCTATGCCCTAGACCCCTAGGCCATCCCTTCCTCCTCTGGGCACACTGCCTGCCTCCTCGCCGGACCGCATCTCCGTCTCCTCGTGCCGCATTCACCTGTGTGAGGGCCCGCCCTCCCCAGAAGGAGCAAACCACGTCCTCCCCCGTCACGAGTCCGCCCGGCATCCCGCACCCAGCCTTGCTGAACGAAGGGCTGACTGCATGAAGTTGGAGGGGCATCGCTCCGGGGGGCGGGGCGGGGGACCTACCCAGCTATCTTCCACGGGGCGGGGCCTAACCTGCGTTCCCAGGCCTCTCAATGGACCGGCGCCCTCGGTCTTTACTATCAACTAGTCTAGATTTGAAACACATCACAAACACCTTAGTCAACTCCACTGCCGAACTTCAATTTCCACTTTTACGTGAGGCACAGATGGCCTCAGGAAGAGTAAGAGCAAGAAAAGCATACGATGAAAGAGATGCTGTGGTTGACAATGACAATGAATTCCAGTGGTGGACCGAGCAATGCCCGGCGTCCCCGTGTGGGGTACCAGCGGGGTGGGCTCCGGAGCGGCCCCGCTGACTCACACGCCTCCTAACACCGCCCTAAACAGTGAATTGTTGTCTTCCTGGCCGGTGATGGGCTAAGCATGTGGCATCCCCTGGCTGGTGCAGGTGGGAGCCACTGCAAGGAGCAGAAGGGACGAAGGCGCCCTGCTCTTCAAGGCCCCTTCCAATAACTCGCTCTGAATTGGAGGAAGCACAACTTCGTCTCCTCTGGTGCAAGGGTGTCTTACTGCACCCCTGCCGCAGAGCAGGGGCTTACTCCATTCCAGAGGGGCAAACGGCACATCCGGCTGACCCGCCCCGACCACAAAGCCACAAGACGAGATACGTATCTAAAGCCCACACCCCAGGCAGAAATCCAGAGTCGGTGTAAATGCACAGCTCTCGCTGATGTGCAGGTCAGGGAACCGGAGGGCCGGGAGGAGGCCTCAGCCTCAGACCAGGTCAGAGGGAGAGACCCCTGCGTGGGCGGGCACCTGAAGGGCACACAGGCTCTGTCTGGTCCCGAGCCGGAGGGGCGCCACCTACTATTTCGTTTGCTTTCCTCTCCTCCTTCTTCTTCGTTCTCGGGATCAATATCTTCTGCTTGGGTGATCCAGTCCAGGTAGCCCCTGAGATCCTCCTCCAGCTGCTGCTTCTCCCGCAGCTTCTGGAAGTCTCCCCGCGCTTTCGCCTTCTCCCTTTCCTTTGAGAATTCTCTGGGGGAGGCAAAGAGAACAGGCACAGGTCAGGACGTCGCCGGGTACCCACGCCGAGAGCCGTCTGCCCTGCTGCACGGCAGTGCCGCAGCAGGACACACGGCACCGAGTGCAGCCACATGAGCACAGCAACGGGGGCCACACACGTGGACGGGACACACGACAGTGCCTTCCCAAGCAAGACTGTGGGGGTCAGAGTTGCAGAGACCACACCAACGCACATGCACCGTCCCTCAGAAAACGAACTCCCTTCAGGAGCTCCGTGCTCCCAACAAGCCGAGTCCCCAGACACCACGAGCTGCCCGTCACGGCAGGCCCGTGACCCCCCACCAGGGGCCTGGACTCAGAGATGTCCCACCGCCCCAGAGTCTCCTCAGATAGCCGGCATCACGCTTGAGAGAGAAAGGATTCACGAGGGCCAAGCTGTGGTCACAGAGGGCTTCTTCCATACTTGGAGGGAACACTCCGTGTTCCTAATGTGTATTGGCCCCTTTGTCCAAACCAAGAGTCCTGAGACCTCAGCTCCCCACCCGCTGCAGTTCTGGCCAGAGCGGTGGACAGGGTCAGAGCAGACCCACCTCACAGCCCCATTCCCCCTTCCCAGACAGGGAATGGAGCACCCACGAAGCACTGCTATCTTTCTTAACCCTCGCTCCTTGCCATGATCTTTTCCCCAGAAGTCCTCCCTATAGAAGGGGAAAAGGCAGTATGATTTGTTGCCCATTTATGGGAACACCTGCCCTGGAAAGGCTCTGGCAGACATGGTAATGTTCCCAACTGTTCGTTGTTTACTCTACCTTTCCCGTCTGCAAGCCTGGATCTCTGCGTATATACAGAATCCCACATTTGCTCAGGCAAGTCAGGAGGTCAGGTGGATGATTACCCAATTCTCACATACAAGGAACCATCTGCGTTTCCAACCGTGAACTGTTACAGGAGCCAGTTGTGCGTGTTATGGATTTAGGAAGTATGATTAAAAAGCAGCTGAGAAAGCAGATGAGAAGACAGGCAGTGCAGCTTCTGCACACAGACCCCTGAATGCTGACGGACTCTACGACTGCCTTCCTTCCAGCCCAAAGCCAGCACATCTCCCTTGCAGGGACCTCATTAACCCAACCCAGCCCAAGCCAAGCGACGAAGGGAAGGTGACCTGCTTACCTAAAAAGCCAACCTCTACTATCTCTCCCCACCCCCCAACTCCGGACTGTCGATGGGCTGAACAGACACTTGAACACCCAGTGACACTGACGCTTCAGGTAAGAAACCAGAACCCTCACCAAGCTGCCACCCTCTCCCCCCGTCCCGTGAGAAAGGACAACCTCATCGCCCTTCAACCACATCACCCAGTTTTCAGATGCCCTGGGATCTGTCCTTGGCTCTGTTAGGGCTGGTCTGTCCCACCTTCACCCACTGGCAAGTGAGAAGGCGGCAAGGCTGCGGGGCATCCCGAGCCCGGCTCGCGGGGGAGCTGACTCCAGGGGGTTCGCGTGGGGAGCCGAAGCCCATCAAGGACCAGAGAAGCTTCCTGCACTCTCAGCCCAGGACCCTTCCTCCGGCGGGGAACACCTTCCCTCTCAAAACAGAAAGGCCTTTGCAGGTAGCATCTTGCTGCTCACGCGAACCATACCGAGAATGATGTGGGGCTTCTCAGCCTTGGCTTCCTGAGATACCGGCCATGCACAACTTAGTCCGGGGTGGGCCCACCAAATGAATCTGAGCTTTGAAAATGTCACACCTGAACCAGAATCTCATTCTTGAACAAGTGGAGGCCTTGGAGTGTCACGTGTCAATATGAAAATGCATCATGTAATCCATTCTCTTAAATACACTATAAAGAGCAAGTCTGTGGGCCTTCAATTCTATTGTTTACCAGAAGTATCGCAGCACAAATCTTTCTGCATATTTTGACTCTGAACTGAGAGTATTCAATTCATGTGATTATATACAAGCAGGGTATTCTTATTTTGGTTACATATATCATCGGAGTTCTTGAAAAAGAAAATTACTACGATAGCAAAAGAGTCACCCTTAAGTTTCACAGGGGATTGTGCTTTAATATCATATTTCATTAAGGTTTTTTACATTAGAAATCCAAAAGCCCTCTCTCTAACAACTGCATCACTGTTGCACATTCTTGGTTGTTGGGACACAGCAAAGCGTGCACAGGTAAAATCCTACTGTGACTAAAATTTCTGAGAATACAAAACACTGCCGATGGGACTTCCCTGGTGGTTCAGTGGTTAGGAATCTGCCTTCCAGTGCAGCGGATGTGGGTTCGATCCCTGGTCAGGGAACTAAGATCCCACATGCCACAGGGCAACTAGGCCCATGCACTCTAGAGCCCAAGTGAACAACTAGAGAGCCTGCACACCGCAACTACTGAGCCCGCATGCTCTGGAGCCCACAAGCTGCAACGAAGAGCCCACACGCCACAACGAAAGATCCCACGTGTCACAACTAAGACCCGACGCAGCCGAAGAAATAATTTTTTTAAATGTTTAAAACAAAAAAACGCTGCAAAGTCCTGGCCTGTAGCCCATTTATTTTAAATAGTAATCACTATTATAACTGTCCATGTAAGAAAACTGTTAATATAAACGCTCTGAACTGATTTTAGACAGTTCTGAATGGCCTAATACTTAGCAGGTGCGTAAGTAACATTTACTGATTTGGACAGAACTGAGATTGACAAGGCATAAATCTCCTTCTGCTGGCTCTGAGACATGGAGGAAGTGAAGGGAGGTGGGCTCTTTGTGATAAACTCAGCTGTCCCATCAGTCCTCCCAGACCACTCTGGGCTCTAAGTCAGAAGACCTGGACTCTAGTCCCCACTCTGTCACTTTCCTTTTCTGAGCTTCAGTTTCTTCACCTGCAAAACAGACATGCTACCTGTTCTCCTGTCTCATAGGGATTAAGTCAGACATTCAATAAGATGCTATTGTGAACATCACAAAGCACTGTACAGTTGTGAAGTTCAAATGTATAACATTTAGTTGTTGAATCTGGGAATAATAATAGGCAATTGGAGGAGGTTTCTCAAGTACCAAAAGGAGAAAAATTGCAAACCGCCATGAATGGGCTCTAAGCTGCATGATGCCAGTGGAATAGAGGGAAGCACAAAAGGACACATGGGATCAAAGTGGGCTCAGAGCGACCCTGATAAGCCAGCAAGTGCCCCATCAACCTGTACCACTATCTGCCCAGTGGAAAATAACTCATTCCCATCGCAACAAACCTTGCATCCCAGGAAATCTCACCTGAGTCCACTGAATCTTTATCAACCTCAGTGGATGATGAAAAAAACAGTTTTCCTTTCACTTAAGAATTTGTCATTCTAGAAGCCTATTACTAAGGGATTAAATAACAGTCACTATTATAAAAGTTAATTTAACAAAGCTATTGGTAGGAACCGTCAGACTTTCACAAGTGACTTAGAAATCTGACAACTCACATGTGATAGAAGCCTACCTGTTCCAGATCAGAAGGGGAAAAAACAAGAAAAAAGATTTTAAGAAGTGCTTGGACAAAAAAGCACATATATTGTGCTACCCTTTGGATGCAAAAGAAGAGGAAATAAGGAAACAAACACTACGGTAGGATGTATCTGAAAGATAGAGCACAAAATAAGCGATGAGGACAAAGGGAGCAGAGGGGATGAAGGAGGAGTGACACTTTTTCTATAATTTTGACTTTTAGAATGTTAACGTTTTACACATTAAATTTTTAATTAAATCAACAGGGACAGGAAGGAGGGAAAATACCCCTAAAGTGGAAGTGAACTGAAACAAATGAGTCTGACTGTACTTCAAATGAATACCATAACCACCCTGAAGGAGAAAGACAAAACTAGTTCAAGTAGTTTATAAACATTTGACTGCATCCTCTCCATCCTGGACAGGACTGGGGTAAGGGCAGAACCACAGACAAATGCTCAACTCTTTTTAGTCAGTTTGGTTTTTTGTAGTGATAGGGATGAAACCATGCTGAAACTATCTTAGACGTATTACAGGATTTCACAAACGAGTTAACGCGTAAATGCTGTTGGGAGCCAGTGTTCTCCCTGTGGAAGGACGGATATAGAAAGTCGGGAAGGGGACCATTAAAAAGAGCCTTCTGGGGATGGACTGCAACTGGGATACTGATGTGAACTCATGATTTCTAAAGATGTATGCATATGACTACATGTATAAAGGTAGGTAAGTGTATGTAAATGCATATACCTCCTAGCTCTGTTGGAAAGATCTAGAAACAAAGATGCCCCCACACCCAGTAGTTATGAGCATACCTGGCACCCAGATCTCGGTCTCTATTACCATTTCCCATTAAAAGGACCAGTAGTCTTTGGAGAAATGGCTGATTCCAGGGCTGGGGCAGGGTAGACACAGGACTAAGAGAGTAAGAAAGTGCTTAAAAAACAAAACAAAACAAACATGATGGGAGCATGAGAAGCACCTCACGGGCCAAATCTGGGATAATGTGAGCCCCAAATAGCTAAAAACAGTAAGGGGGGCTTCCCTGGTGGCGCAGTGGTTGAGAGTCTGCCTGCGGATGCAGGGGACACGGGTTCGTGTCCCGGTCCGGGAGGATCCCACGTGCCGCGGAGCGGCTGGGCCCGTGAGCCATGGCCGCTGAGCCTGTGCGTCCGGAGCCTGTGCTCCGCAGCGGGAGAGGCCACAGCAGCGAGAGGCCCGCGTACCGCAAAAAAAATAAAATAAAATAAAAATAAAAACAGTAAGGAATTTTACAATATTTTAAAAAACCAGTCCACACCCCTTATAGACAAATTAAAAACCAAACAAGATAAAATATTAATAGAACATGAAGTGAATTGGAGTAAAGGGTACCTGGATTGCTTACTAAGATATTCTTATTCTTGCAACTTTTCTGTATATTTGACATTACTTCCAAATAAAAAATTTGTTAAAATGTTTGGAAAATGTAACCGCTCTAATCAAATGCAATGTTGTTTTACATTCATTTCCGCTTACCAGGTAGACTGC